CCGGATTGCCTTTAAAAGCACCCTCGTAGCACAGGATTGCCCTTAAAAGCCCTCTCCTAGCAGAGGATGTAGCACAGGATTGCCTCTAAAGCTCTCGTAGCACAGGATTGCCGGTCGAATTCCAATTTTGGACGGGCGCCGGATTTTGTCAAACTTTTAATACAATTTCAATGGCGATCAGCCCGGTTCGCGGCAAATCCTGGGGTGGCCCCCACGGCCGGCTGCCCGTAGCACAGACTGACCTTGCAAAGGCCGCTCGGAGCACCCGTAGCACAGGATTGCCTTTAAAGGATGGGAGACAGAGGCGGCAGGACGGGGAGGAGGATGGACGGGGAGGCAGCGACTCACCAGGAGATGGAGGGAAGGAGAGGGAGGGAGGCGGGACGAAGAAAAAGATAGAGAGAGAGAGAGGGAGAGAGAGTGCGAAGGAAAAGAACAGGGAAGGAGGATGACAAAAAAAGACAGCGAGGAAGGCAAGACGGCGGGTAGGCCTAGGATAGGCCTATGGATAGCGCCAGGCATACCTAGGATAGGCCTATGGATGGCGCTAGGCATAGGCCTAGGATAGGCCTATGGATGGCGCTAGGCATAGGCCTAGGATAGGCCTATGGCTAGCCTAGGCATAGGCCTAGGATAGGCCTATGGATAGCGCTAGGCATAGGCCTAGGATAGGCCTATGGATACCCTAGGCATAGGCCTAGGATAGGCCTATGGGTAGCCTAGGCATAGGCCTAGGATAGGCCTATGGGTAGCCTAGGCATAGGCCCAGGATAGGCCTATGGATACCCTAGGCATAGGCCTAGGATAGGCCTATGGGTAGCCTAGGCATAGGCCTAGGATAGGCCTATGGGTAGCCTAGGCATAGGCCCAGGATAGGCCTATGGGTAGCCTAGGCATAGGCCTAGGATAGGCCTATGGATAGCCTAGGCATAGGCCTAGGATAGGCCTATGGCTAGCCTAGGCATAGGCCTAGGATAGGCCTATGGCTAGCCTAGGCATAGGCCTAGGATAGGCCTATGGATAGCCTAGGCATAGGCCTAGGATAGGCCTATGGATAGCGCTAGGCATAGGCCTAGGATAGGCCTATGGATAGCGCTAGGCATAGGCCTACAATAGGCCTATGCCTAGCCTAGGCATAGGTCTAGGGTAGGCCTATGCCTAGCCTAGGCATAGGCCTAGGATAGGCCTATGGGTAGCGCTAGGCTAGCTCCCTAGGCCCCGGGATAGGGGCTACCCTGGCTCGAGTATAGGGGTAGCTGTGGGAGTTCTGTATGCAGAAGTCGCAAAGGTGAAGTCGCTGGAGGCTATTTGGACCTGAAAGGGCCACACTGCGTCACTGCCTGAACGTGTGCCTATAGGTTGTTAAGGGACCAAAAGCAGGGGAGAGCGAGAAAGAGAGAGAGAGAGAGCGAGCGAGCGAGCGAGCGAGGGAGGGAGGGAGTGGTAGGAAAAGGTCCTTTTGGGTTGGATCCCCAAAAGCAGACCTTCAGTTCAGCAACTCGACTTCGATGGAGCATGCTGGTTTCAAACTCCAGCTATTCCAAGAACATGAGGCCAAAAGTCCTGATTTCCCTCCAATTGAACGACTTGGTGCACATCAACACGCTGGAAACACTCCTGCTACATTCCTTGAAGAGCTCATCATCACTCCAACAGATCACATCCGCACACATGCCCAGCTGTCCAACACGCGTCCTCGGGATCCTCCTTGAGCCACTTCTCCAAGGCCTCTCTGAGAGATGGTTTGTCGGAGCGACCGTGATCGAAGGAACCGAAACCTCGACTGCTGAGGAACGAAAAACACCTCTGAACCACATTACAGGTCGAACGAAAACACCTCTAGCGGACTCTCCCCCCCCCCCGATAGCCATCTGGCATTGGACTGGCTGCCTTTTGGTCTCTGACCTCGGTGCATCACATCAACCTGGAGTTGGACCACGTGCTTCGGAAGGGTGTAACAACATCCTTATCAAGACATGGGGAGAATGCCACGATCCCGCACCAAGACACACCTTCGCACTCGAGAAGTGGCTTGGTCCTCCTTTGGAAGTCCCAGGAGATACGTACATACAAGCCTCCCAATGTGAACTCAAACAATCGGGTCGAAAAGTCCCGTTGCCACTGGACCCGTGACGCGACCCCAACGACCTGACGACCCGATCCTCACCTTCAACAAGACGGCAGCGCCATCCAAGGACACTAGTTGGAATTTCGCCGTAACATCTATCATTGCTTCTAGGAGCAAGGACGCTACTAGGAGCAAAGGGCATCGCTACTAGGAACAAGAAGCTACTAGGGGCTCCTGGCATCGCTACTAGGAGCAAGGACGCTGCTATCATTGTCCCATCGGTACATCGGTCGCGGCTATGCACCTATGGGACTGATCCTCCCAAAAGAATATCCTGAGGCATGTCTCTAGAGCCCGATCACACAAGAGACGTGGCAAGCCTAGAGCCTCTAGATATCCCAGAGTCCCGGCACTGCAAGAATTCTTGGTGCCTGGTCCAGCATGGGCGCAGCCTCCGCGTAGTTCTTTTTGTTCTTGTGCACCAGGCCAATGTTCCAAAGATCCTCTCGAAGTTGGATTTGTGAAGTGTTCCACCTACGTGGAAGACTTGGACTTGAAGGCGTAGACTTGGAGAAATAAGGTTTTGGTCTTCTGGTTGGGGGTTCAGTGACTGTTGCCCTGGAAGGAGAAAGCACCAACCAAGATTGCCCCATCCAAACACCTATCTCTAGACTGGTCAACGCAAAATGTTTAGTTGAAACCCAAGCCACCCTTTTCCGCCCTGATAAAATGGTGTATCAATGTATGATGTGACAAAAAAAAAAGAAACTCGATGGACCTGACCTGGGTGGCTTGCCAGATTTCCTCTCGCAACATGATCCTACCACAAGCCATATTGATCATCACGCCTCCTTGTCTAGAATGAGCTTGCCATTGCTGTCGCGCTCGCCTTGGGAGTGTGATTCAATTACCAACAGTTGAAAACTAATTTCTGCCCCATGACAAGGGAATGCGTGGTATTCCAAAAATCTAGGATGTAGTAACCACAACCGCAAATATCTTGAGTTCATGGCTTATGGGTCACACTGTTGCTTCCACGGGTGGTTCAGCTTCCGAAGTGCATGAAATTCCATGACGTTCCGTCTTGTCCACATGCACCCACTCCAAAAGGTGAGTGGCTAGTTGCAAGACATGCCCTGAAATCCCGGCAGAAAAGAAAGCAGACATGAATCCACTAGGGCGTCTCGAACAGAAGGTCTCGCAGAGGGTGGTTCCAGAAGGAAATCTCGCAGAAGGGGTCTTGCAAACGGGATTCTCGAAGAAGCGGTCTCGCAGAAGGGGGTCTCGGCGACTCGGAGATGGGCGGTCTTGCAGAAGGAAATCTTGCAGAAGGGGGTCTTGCAGAAAGAGGTCCGGAAAGAGGTCTGGCAGAATAGGCGTGGATGGACACATTGGTTGCCATACCCCACATGGGGTGGGTTGAGATCGCCCCCAAATGGTGAATAGGGGCACCGGAATTGGGGGGGCACCCGACCTTGCAGCCCGACCTTTAAGAGATACACGTGAATCCGTTGGTTTCGGGGGTCGCAAGTCATCGATCTGACAGAGTCCCAGTGACCGACCAGCTCTGCCGCCGCATCAAAATAGACCTTCGCCTTGTCGTGCTCCCGCAGCTGGTTGTAAACAGTGCCCAAATTCCTGCTTTTGGTACTAGCCATCGCCAGGAGGTTGGAGGCCATTGCTACTGGTAACAAGAAGCTACTAGGAACAAAGGTAATGCACCTGACATCGGCTAGGCGAAACAGAGAAAGGACTGTACTACAGTGGTCTTCCATTGCGTCGATTAACCAAATCCCCGAAAAATACTGCAAGAACATCCCACCAATACCTCTGGTCCTCACCAAAGAGCACCCCGGACGCAGTCCTCAAAGTCGCCTCGTGCGGCGGCGTTAGCTTGGCCACCTCTTCCAGCATGGGCGCGGCCTCGAACCGAACCCGTGGAGTCAGAACCCTCGAAGCAGGTGGCAAGCTGAACCAGGTGGTCTGCCCCAAGTGTGTATTCAAATGGAATTGTAATCATCTGTCAACAAAAATTACATATGCCAAATACATATTGTTATATACTATTATTGTATATACCGTAGACTGTACATGTTCCTCAACCAACTGTTCATCGACTGAAGCACCTCCGCTTGGCGGTTCTGCTTGCACCGCAACGTCGCGCAGTCTTGGAACCACTTCCTGAGCTTCGGCCGAGGCGTCAGGAAGTGCGATTTGACGTTCCAGTGGTAATTCCAAGCCCATCAAATGCAAAAAAAACTGTTGGCCTAACAAATGACCAAATCCCCAGCAAAATCCCAAAAGGCTGGAGAAAAATCCATCGCAATTGGTGGCCCAGCCACACGTTCCAAGGCAAACCTCTTGAGAGGCAATGCGGCTTGGTGATCTCGTACAAGGCGTCGGCCTTGTCGAGCGCGTAGTTCTTCCTGACATCGGGCGAAATCGCATCCACAGCGTCGGCAGTGGCTACGTGGGGATTTCGCTTTCTTCACATCATGGACCACGTAGCACAGCTGGGATGGACCCCTGAATGTGGAGTCTATTTCCAGGATCTCAATTCTCCACAGGTGGCACAGGCCCTTTCTGGTGGCTCATATGCTCTGGAGCATGAGGTCAATGGGTGCGTTGTTGTGGCAGAAAACATCGTTCTCCCATTCTTACAAAATGTAAAATACCCACGGAGGTCAAAGGTTGCAACTTTGGGATCCACATCAAACTGCAGCTCCAAGACCGCGTCTGAACCTCTTCCCAGGACAAAAACGACGAAAAAAACCGCTGGAATCATCTCACAGCCCCGAAAACCCAAAGCAAACAACAACCCCATCCACCCCATCCAACTCACCATCCACCTCATCCAATCACCATGGCTCAGGTAAACCACCGCCAGGTCCAAGCCCTTGGCCAAGACCTCTGGGGCTCGGAAGCCCTGAGGTTGCTGTGCCACCAGCCGTGCGAACTTGGCCTCGCACTCCTGGACGATGCGCTGGTTCTCCTCCAGGCCTTGAGACCAGGAAGGACTGTCTCTCACGAGTGTATTGGACGAGTGTCTGGCCAACTGCAACCAAATTGGCCAACTGAAACTGGGATGCTCGTTTTTTGCTGGAGCACTGTCCTTCAGCCTTCAGCATTCACCTTTTTCAGAGCTGGGAAGAATGCGGGAAAATTGATGCTATGATATGATAGATATGATATACAATGTATATGGGTTTCTCGGTCAGAGCAATTGCCACCACTCATCAGCCCAGCTGGCCGTTGCGCAACGCAGGGAGAAACAAAAAAGACAGAAGGCAGAAACTCCAAGAGACTCTGCAGATGTGATGAGCACCCACAAACCACCCGTCACTGCATATGAGCCAAGTGTTTGAGAAATTGGAATTTCTTGGAATTTCCTGGAGGAATTGCCTTCGACATAGTCTCTGTCTATTTGTTGGATGAGACAGTAAAGCTGTCACTAGGAACTAGTGCTAAACACAGTCCATTATTTCGTCCTTTAAAGCGTGAACGGATCCCTGATCACTCACTCATCTCGCGAAGAACACCTGTCACACCCACGGTTGCAGCCCACAAACCTCCAAGGAAGTCCTGCTCGGACCAATCGAGTTCCTCCGGGCGCAAGATGAAGTTGTCCCGCGGTGGGCCTCCACTTTTGGGGGAAGCAGCGAGAGCCAAGCTCCCGTCAGTGACGTCGCTAACGACTGCTCGTGACTGCTCGATCTCCCGTTGCACCCAGCAAAAGCGGTCATTGCTCCACTGCCAGGATTCCATCTAAGCCGTTCCAATCCGAAACCTCGAAACGGCACCGGTCAACCGCGGTTTCACCCCACTGAAACTCCAGCATCTCCGATGCTTTTTTTCCCGCCTAAGGCCTGCTCAGCACCGCTGCTTGGTGGCATCATCAGCTTGAGCGCGCAAATGAGGCTCTCCACCTAGACTGGAGTTCCGGGGCAGTTGTCCCTGACGAGAGGGTGTGGTAGGTGAGATTGGGTTGGGAGTCCCTTTGTGGAAGAATGGCTTGATGCTTGGTGCAATAAAAGTTAGATGCGACAAGAGCGATGGAAAATCTGGTCTTGTGATTGAAGGTTGAATACTGCTCCTTCCTCTTGAGAAGAACCTTCTCAAAAAGGCACTAAGAACAGGACCTACAATTTGTTGCACTCCTGAGATGCAACAAAAGCAACCGCAAAACTGATAGACAAGTGAATGTCGTCTTAAAGTTTTTAAAAGTCCTTGAGTGGAGTTCAAACCCGCAATCAGGTCAGCTCATGCTCTCCATCTATGCAAAGCCAAACCAAAATCGCAACTTGCCCTCTAACACAGGCTCTTCATCCCCCCAAAGCAAACTGTTTTCAAGCACAATTCTTCCAGCAATCTCCCTCCCCCGGGCCCGCAGCACACGGTGCTGTCTTCACGCCGCCTGCTGCTGGTTCCCCTTGGCAATCGCCTCGGCCAGCGCCTCACAGGCCTCGCCGCAGGCCTCCGGGTCGAAGCCCGTGCCTCACGACGGCCGGTGACGAGGATCCGTCGGGTGAAGGACTTTGGCGGCTGTTCTGGAGTTGTTGAGTTCGGTTTGCCTCTCAGATCCCACTCAGGTGAACCGTTCGATTTCTATCTGAACCAGCTGCTCCGAGTTTGGGCGGCACAAAGAGGGAGGGAGTAGAGCTTTGGTCGTTAAAGACACAGTCCACGCCTTTGTATCTTGAGAGGCCACTGCCAGGCGGGGAGGTTAGCATCAGATCCAGATCCAGATCTGCCGTGGCTGCCTCACGCGCAACGCGTCTGCGCAGCCAGCGGCGCAGGCAGTTGTGGTCACCACGGGAATCGCGATGGGAAGTGACAAAACTCCACTGAGCGCACTGTACCTGGGCCAACTGGACCAGACTCCAGTTCTGGTTTGGAAGAAACAAACGTCCAAAGAAAAATCGAAAAAACATCCAGCAAAACAACGGCTACTTTTCGGAGGTTTTAGATTGCTCATCCATCCCAAGTACGGCCCAGTTCGCTATGGCTTCGTTCCAACACAAGCATCATGTCCGGCCACCATGGCCAAGTTAGATAAATATCCGTTTACCGCGGTCTTGGGATCAGTACAGTTCACACGTAAGTTCCCAAGACAAAAGCTAGAACAACAGAGTCACGGCCGAGGTGTCAGTACTCCTTGGTCCCTAAGGTTCTTTGTTCCCAACTTTGGTTCTGACTCCCATTTTGAGCCCCACTGCTTCATGGGCACTGGAAAATCTATGGTCCGAAGAAGAAGAAGAAGAAGAAGAAGAAGAAAAGAGGCAGGAAGAAGAAGGAAGAAGAAGAAGAAGGATAAGAAGGAGGAGGAGGAGGATAAGGTGAGGATCATGAAATCTCACCCCGATCCAAAAAGTTAAAACCCAACTGGGAAAGCTTTGCTCCATGGCTACAACTGCACCAAGCTTCAAGACCAAAACTCACGAGAACCACACTGCCCACAGCCACGCGCAGGGCGCCGCGACTCGGCGGTGCTGCTGTGGAGGCCATGTGGAAAAAACGGAAGCGCAGCGTGGTTAAAACCCACCGACCATCATGGACCGAAGAGACCAAAGACTGGAAAGTGAGCAGAGCAAGCAGACCAAAACTTCTGTGAATCCTGCGGAGTTTATTTCAGGCGATGTAAGAAGTGAATGAGCTCCGTCCCTTGCCTGTTTCTTGCCAAGATTTGCTTAGTGGGTTCTCAAGTTCTTTGGCTGAAGAGCGGACTCATCTTCTTCATAAATGCTTAATTTACCAGCCGGATTGGGATCAAAGTGAAAGTGTGTGGCTGTGTCCTGCCTTAGAATCCAAGCCTTTGGTGGTTGAGATCTCTATGTCCGCTGGCTGGCATTTGCCATACTTGAAGCAAAAGGCTGGAGTGGAACATGGATTTGACGAGAAGTCATTGCAAGGGTATAGGTGCCCCAAAAGAGCGACTTTGCGAGCCTGAAATATATGTTTGGTGTTTCTATGGACATTGAGGCATTGGGCCCCTCCGATCTCCGATATTCCTCTACAATATTCCTGGACAGCTGGGGTTCCACATGACTTAGCTGGGGAGTGTACACTGTTGACCATGCCAAGGACTTGTACAGAACGAAGCCTCTAGTAGGTGCATACGATTGAGTCTCTGTCTTCGTTGGCAGTGTAGGAAGTCTTGCCATGCTCCACTGATTGCGTTGGCAAGCCACCAAAGCATCAGAATCAGGGTTGAACCAGCCCAACAACTCCAAGAACAAACCCCCCTATACGAGCCCTGGCTGTGTCTTTAAGGTTTAAAAGTAAATCACGTTCGATTGACCCGCGGTGATTTGACAAAGGCTCTGGAACATGTATTGTAGAATATCAGAAGGCAATCGACAAACCCGAACATAGGATGGTTGTCGCCAAAGAGAAGGAACATGCCCGGACCCACAGGAGGCAAACACCCGAGTGCCTTCTTGGACATTTGCGAAAATAAGCGCACACCTGCCGGCTTCGGGGGTGGCGGGGAATGTCCAAGTTTCGCCGTATGCCGTATGCTGGATACATACTTGCCTTGGTCCGGTCAAATTACTACATTAAAAACTTGGCTGCTTGCTTTCAGACCAAGGTATCAGCTGATAACACAATCATGAATTCTTAAAAAGCAGAGCTCCAAAACTCCTGTGAACATGACTGGCCAAGTACAAAGTCCTCAACGGCCGCAATGGCCCACAATTGATTAGATCAAATCGATGAGCAAAAGAAGACCTGCAGGTCCTATAATACCTGAAGGCATCTTCTCCTTATGACAGGCCCAAAGTACAACTGGCATAATCATGTCCACTGTACGCGAATCAAAGTTCTTGGTCCATCGGATTAAACCAGCCACTGCTTTTGTGAGTCAGCCGACCCCCTATGCATGAGATGCCCATGAAAAAGTCCACGCAGGCCTAGCAGATTGATGAGCTGCCCTCAAACCTCAGTGTGGCAAATGAGCGTTGCTTAAAACTCTAGCAAATCAACACTTCCTTTTAATGTCACAAATGCAACATCTTGGAGTTGTAGGTCAAATTGTGGAATACATTGCAAGCACTGCTTGGAACATCCTTTTACTCTACAAACAGATTGTTTTCACTTCCATGTTTGTTCCAGGGAGGGTAGATCAAGCTCAGTGTGGTGCCCAGAACAGGAATTGGCGGATCTGGTGAACAAAAAAACACTCGAAGTCTTTGTAGCATACCCTACCGACTAGAACTTTATAGTACATCTTCCCACCTCTCTTCCCAACTTCATCTCACTCTACATGCGGCCCTTGCACAACTTTCAAGAGTTGGGAAGCTGCAAAACGTGCTTAGTGCTGTCCATTCACATCCACACATATGGACCATCTGGCCATCAGCTACGGAGGAGACCCACGCCATCAGGGAGATAGTCTTCTGAACTCCATCTTCGAGCGGGCTCAACACGTGGATAAGGCTCCGAAAAGTAAAAATAAGAAAACATAAGACACGCAGGCACCCGCAATGGGCAGCCATGTGTTCCGTTGACCACTTGCCTGTACCGTTAAGGACTTGAGGACTACCATCATCACAGCCTCCCCCCCTCCATCGATCCAAGAATCCCTGACGTCCACGTCCGTGATCGGAATGGAGGCGGGTGCGCGGGCGACAAGCAACGCTCGGGTGAAACGGCTTGGCTAATGCAGCTGTTGGCTGTGTGGCTATTTGGCCGCGCGGCTGGTAGATCTGCGCTGAAAAATGCCAAACACGAGTGTGTCTTCTTCTTGCCCAGACAGTATGGAGGCCATCTGTGCCTGTTTGTTGGGTAGCGGGGATAGTTTTGTGGAACCTGCGGGGCCGCCCCTCCCTCCCAAATCCGCCCGGTCGCGCATCTCAACACCTGGCGCTGGTCTCATACCTTAAGAATGATTCCTTGAGCCGAGCAAAGCGTGGTCATTCCGCATCCCTTTCCACAGATCAACCCAGGTCGACACTTGTCCCTGAAAAAAAAAAAAAGTAAAAATGGTCGAAAGGGACGGTCATCCCGGTTCCAACGACGACGCTTTGTTATGCATAAAAGGAAGCAATGACCACCCAGTTTTCGGAGATGGGATTGAACCAGCATTCTGGAGACCAGGCATGGAATCCTCTACACAATGGCCCAACTAAGCCATTCCGCCAATTGCCACGTCTGAGCTTCAACTCTGAGGTTCATCAGAAACACAACGAGAGGTGGTGAACCCTGGTCTTTGGGTAAAGAATGTTGGCATCTTCCAAGGCCAAACCGATCATGCGATGCACCACTTCATAAACGCTTAGAGTATCAGTCACAGTGTTGCATGTCGAGTGAACCCACTGAAGAGACTTGCTTATCTAAGCATGCTGCCAAAGGGGCCTCCCAAATAGATGGAAACCGAAATAGTAGATCCTCTGGAGACCGTTTTTGTTCTCTACATAATGGGACCACTCAAAGACAAAAGTGCTGCTTCACATTCACCCCATTCACCATTCAGCCATCACAAGACATTCGGTGTCGTCGTCAAACTCCCCAAATGTCATGGATCGGCCCAGGAAGGTTGACACTGTTTGACCTTTTCTGGATCCTGTTCCAGAAATACGGTAGTAAAACTCTGTGGGCTCCTTTGCCGAAGGAAGGACATGCGTGTGGCTCCAAAATGAAGGACCCAAGAACCTACACACTGCTCCTCCAAGTGGGAACCGTTGGGTGTGGTGAGGCCTTTGTGGATCCATTCCCAATCAAACCCTTGAAACCGCAGAGACTTGGTCAGGCCTTTGATCAAGATGCTGCCGAAAGGAAAGGCATTGGACTTTTTGGGACCAAGTGCGAAACGAGAATTGGACCTGGTTCCCTAGGTTGATACCCTACAAACAACCAAGTACGAGGACTTGAGGCAACTCCATCAAGCCAAAGGGGGCCGAACTCTCACCAACCAACCATGTCTAGGCCAAACTGTGTGCCCCCCCAGGTTTCCGCCCAGAAAATCCAGGGTCAACCTCTCTTCTTCACTCCAGGTGCTGCTCCCACAGCCATCTGGGGCATCCGCACCCGATCCTGAAGGGATCCTGAAGGCAGAGGTCCGATGTTGAACACTCACATACACTCTAGACATCTGGAAAGCAACCTGGTTTTGTAGGGGGACTATCCTTTCAAGGCGGACTCGGTGGTCACCAAAGTGCCCATCCGTCCATCTCTGACTCCCTTCTCTGAACACAACACAACGGACTAGTCACACGCCTGCAGAAAACTGGGGTGGGGTGTCAAGCAAAGGCTCTTCGAGCACCTAGAACCAGACACAGAGAGAGAGAGAGAGAGAGCGAGAGCGTCCTTGCTCCTAGTAGCGATGCCCTTTGTTACTAGAGAGAGAGAGAGAGAATTTCGCAGTTCCACCTTCTTTTTCCCTGGCGCATTTCGCGATGCTTGTCCCGCCTTGAACAGGATGCCTCCACTGCAGGTGCCATGGGCCAGTTCCTCGATGGTTTTGCTTATATAAAGCACTAAGACAGTAAGAATAGTAAGAATCCATTAGCTTCCCACATTGATGAGATAATTTCTTTTTGAGCCGAACTTGGAAAAGGAGGGAAACCATCGACTCGTCGATCCATCCGTCCTTCACCATCCTTCACCGTCCTTCCCCCGTCTCCATCTGGGCACCGTGGAAATGCCACCTGCTGTGCTGTTCTGTTCGATGCTTCCGACTGCTGGAGCCAATAAAACGAGGCTGCAAAGTGGGCAGGGCGCTGCAGTGAACGACATTCCCAAAGGCGTCACCCAGTCCCAAAGGTCCCAACAAGAGCTTGGGCTCCTCAAAGAGCTTGGTTGTTTTTAGGGCTCAAAAACAGCCTGCGGTTTGAATGGGGAGGTGAGGAGATCCATCGTCCTTTCGCAGCAGCACTGAAGCTCCCCACAAACCGATCACAGCTCATGAGTACCCACCACGGATTGAGTTTGTGTGCTCGGAGGTTGCTACGGTTGCAGCACATCAATTTGTGGCAGCATATCTTTGCCGATGGTGGATTGGCTGATCCATACCACTGCTTCCCAGGTGCTTTCCATGGACTTTACACCGTTGCGTGATTCGAACAGTGTCTGATCAGAATTGGAGGAAGGACCTTGGATCTTGAAGCTGCCAAACCGCCCAAACCGCCCCAAAAGTACCAACATACCCAGCTTGCCTAGATATCTGATCATCAGAGGACCTCAGGATATGACCAAACAATCGCTAGTTTGACCAACAGCTCCCCAGCCCAATCCGGTGAACCCTTCACACTTCCAAACCCCCCCGACCCTCCAAACCCCGAGGTGTGCTCCCACCGGCACCTCCAAGAGTGCTCCCAGGGGGCTGAAACGCAACGTGTTGAAGACCGCGTAGTTGGGATGCGTCTTCGCCTATGGTAGTGGAGCCGCTTCCGAGTGGCTTTCGACCGCTTCCGATTGGAGCTTACCTAAACTGCGAGTCGAGACCCTGTATCCTAATGCAGAGCCAGAAAAACAAAACATGGGGAACTTGCTGGTCATCCCCTTCACAAGGGTGTTTCTGGTTTGGGATGAAAATCAAAATTCGACCTAATAGTTCCAAATCCTGACCCATGTCCAAATTGTCCGAGGTTTTGGTCTATGTCTATTGGCATTACTAAGTTACTATTTCCTCATTAGTGAGTGTGGTTGCTTGTATTCCAAAATCCTGTGTTTGAATATAAACCCGGAGGAGAACAAAGAGGGAGAGAGTTCGTCAAACAAATCGAAGGGACATGTAGCAACGTCAAAAAATCAAAGGGACGGTGCGAGAGAGTGTCACGTGCAGCAGTACCGTTCGAGCCTTCAACATCCATCCGACCCAGGGCACTTACAACGCGTGGCGCCACCCGCTCCGCAAAAATAAACAAAAAAACACTCGGGGCACCCCACATTCAGCATGCCTTCCATGATGCCCCAGGCATGAAGATCGGAGCTATAGGCCACCTCGGCAGGGTGTGCACCGGAGACGGACCGGAGGCAGAAGAGCTGGCTAAGGAGTTGAGGGCCTGAAGAGCAGGGAGGTGCTCAGCATCTTCTCTCCACTGTCATGATAGTGAGTGGAAGTAGAAAAGTGATGACTATGGAAAGTTCCAGCAAACATCCACATCTACCACCCCTGGATTCAGGCCATGTGGAACCTGAAAACGGAATTCTCAAAATAGAACTTACTCCTCGGAACACCAGTACTTGGGGGATTCCATCTCAGTTTTCGACATGGGTGCCATCTTAAATACGCAACATGCTTGTGAAGCGTGAAGAGTAGTTTGTCTTTGTTCTCCTTCTACGATGACAAGTTGTGTCCACGTTCTTTCCATCTGAAAGGGCAACTTTTTCAAACCATTGGAAACCACAACCCACGGCCAATCGAAGTTTGAAAAAGACCCCGTCAAAATCTACAATCTACAAATTCCCCAAAGGATGACCTTGTTTCAGCGCACCTTTTGGTGGGGTAGACTCGGAGACCCCTGTCTGTGGAAGACCTGATATTGCACGTGCATGGTTCCAGCAGAAAGGGCATCCTCCGGCCAATTGAGCTACAGTATCCATGAAAAGTCCGTGCCAAAAGCCACTGTCAAAAAGAAAAGTTTTTCATATCGTTCCTCCTCACTGCGTCCTGTGATGCGATCATCCTTTCGCTTTCGCGGCCGTTCCATGGCCGCTCCATGGCCGTTGGCGGGCGCGGCGCAGACCGCCGCAGGGGCGCGCCTTGGGGATCAAGCTGAGGAGGGTCAAGATCACCAAGGTCCGCCTCGACTCGAGTCGACCCTGATGGACCGGATCGAGCGACGAAAGGTCGCTCTGCAAGGCAGGCGACCTGCCATGCCGACCTGCCATGCCTTTTGCCACATCCACTCCTGCTCCTGCGATCTTTCAGTGCTGGCTTTGCTATGTTGTAACGTCGTACTTATCTTGTCAAAAAGGCTAAAGATTGATTTTTTCTCTTTTGGCTGCCTGAATCTACCGCAGTGGAGTGAAGATCAGATGCGCAAACGGCCACAGAGTGTGACAGATGAGAAAGATGAGCCTGGTATCTTACAAGAAGGTCTAAGCCTTTCCACAGCCCGGATGGCCTCAGCTCCTCCTTCTTCTGTGTGGCCAAGACCCGCAAGCTGTAGGGCAGCGCGCATAGGGCGAAGGACAGGGCAGAGAGGAACCAGGTCGGAGCATTCCAGACCTGATCCAGAGATGCGACCTAAGAATCAAACTTCGGAGTTCAAGAGTTTTATATAGTAGTAACAGGTGCCACGCTAGTAGTAACAAGAAGCTATTAGAATTAAAATTAAAACTACAATCACAACTTATGTTCAATTGTGTTCATGGCCTCGCACGCGCTACGCAAGCATCCAACAACCGACACGGGACTAGCTACTTAGCATGTTCAGACCTTATCAACTGGTGGCTTTAGCATGTTCAAGCAGGGTCACGTGGGTGGAAACCGGGCGCCTCTCCGGAGGTCGGAAACCAGGCCTCACCGGAGAGAGCACTACCGCACCGGTCCAGGCGACCGGACCGCGGGAACAGCAAGACTTGTGTTTCTGTGAACAAACTCTTGCTGGTTCCTGGTCTGACTGAACATTGAACCAGAGTGTTTCTACGTCTTTCTGCACACATGTTTTGAGCCGCCATAGTCACCATGGTTCCAAGTCACATTCTCTAGAACGTTCTTTCTTCGCCAGGCGCGCCTGCAGCATGAATGTGGAAATGAAGCCGTTCCACAAGGCAGTTGGCCAGCCACCTCGGGCGGAATGGCCAGCTTTGCTCCGACCTTTTTAACCCAAGCATCGTTGAAACCACCCGGGCTCCAGATTTAAGAATCGATTCTGACATCTAGTGCAGGACAGAAATGCTCCACCACCTCAGATCGGAAAAGAATAGAAAAAAAAAAAACTCCCTCTCCCTCTCCATCTCTCCCTCTCCCTCTCCCTCTTTCCCGAAGGTTGTGATGGCGATACATTCCTATAAGTCACTCCGAGTGCAAAACAGGACCGAGGTAAAGCAGAAGTCGGAAGTCAAAACACTGACACTCCGAGGAACACCAAAAGTTGTTGGTTCAAGCAGAATTCCAAACTCTTCGACCAAGTGTCGCACTCGCTCTGGTGCATCTCAGTCCTGTCTCCACGTCATTCTGCCAGTCTTGTTTTAAGATGTGTGTTTTCGCGCACTTCTACTCTCAAGTCTGAATAGTTCTTGTCCTCACCATCCCAAGTTGAGCCATTTGCAGCCAAAGATACTGTAGGACACATCCACATAAAGGAACCTCGTTTGTGAAGGTTTTGTTTTCTCAGCAGAATGTCTGTTGGTGTACAGTGTACAGTAATGATGTTCTTCTTTTGGATGGAGCAGTTTCCCTCCAGATGGATGCTCCGGAGTGCTAGGTCTAGTGAAATGATTCTGGGTGCCTTGTCAAGAAATACTTGTGAGTGTGTGTGTGTGTGTCTGTGTGTGTGTCTAAATCGTTTACTGCATTCACAGTATATACACATCAAGCATTCTCAAAGCCATTGATGTCTTCTCAGTGATTGCCCCCTCAGTAGACAAACCAGCTTCTACGCTCGATCTGTGTGCCACACAGAGTTTCTCCTGCCAGAGACAAGCCAAGCAACATGGGGGAGAAGAGAAGCAAGACGATCAAGTGAAGTGGCCAATGACCCATGATGCGAGTCACCACGAACTCAACCCTCAGCTCGGCTGGGGCTCGGCTTGAGGGTTGTGCCAGATTGCAACACGGCGCCAGTTGCGGGTTTGGACCCGAGCAATGGCCCGAGCAATCACAGGGCCACCAAGAGGGTAAGGTATGCATTGCAGGCAATTTGGTTCATTATGGTGAGATTCTTCTCCGCCGTCTGTTTCCCTCAAACAAGCCTTAAAACTCATCACATCTTTCAGTCGTCCTTTGTCTAGTATCTTGGACACCCTCCGGCTTTGGCATGATCACCCCCAGGCACTCAGCAAACCTTGTCTTTCTATCCCACAACCATGACCCCCTTTGTAGGGTGAACCATCACCAAACAGAATACCAATAAACCCAGGTTGCCAGCCATCCGGGTTCAAATCCTCCTTGTCACTACCAGGAACCTCATCTTCCAAGACATCTTTTGATCATAAGACCTACAGGGAGAATCTCTGCAAAATCTCCCCAAGGTATTGGGGATGCTCAGCACGTCCGGAAATCACAGCACCCTTCAGGTGTGACCAAACACCCGGCAACCCTTCAGATATGCTTGAAGAATTGGTGTCGATGTAGGTCGTTCTATGGGTCCACAAAACATCCGTATAGTAGTACATACACTCGCTACATATTAGGTTGGAGAGAATCACTATTAGGTTGGAGGCCATCGCTATTAGGTTCCTTAAAGTGTTTTTTCTTGTTTTTCTTAAAGTCGTAATTTTTACTGATCCTCATTGCTCGACATCTCCTTCTCCAGCCCAAGTGGCGCGTTGTCCAATCGTTTTGAGCCCTTGCGCCTCAGCATTTGGCTTGTTAACTACACAGATTTAATCTGCTCAATGATGATTGGCCCTCTGCTTCAGCCATGGTCAAAAGTGTCCCACCAACACTGTGAAACCGGGACAGCCCTCAGTTTCCAGTAGAGAAAAAGGCCATTAAAGAAACGCAAAGGTATATACAGTCAAAAATGGATTAGCAACAAGTGGCCTTCGGAAGCATCGGTTGCGCTTGTGATTATGATTCATCTTTCAAGCACTGCTTTCACCTTGAAAACCAGCGGTGTCTCCTAAGACTAAATGGCCTGAAAAAAGTCTTAGGTATCCCTTCTAAAAAATAAACAAAACAGCCTTCCCAGTTGAAACACACGTTTAGTTTGCTTCTTTAAAAGACTTAATAAAAGAAACTTTAGGCATCTGAAGCATTTAGACCAAGGTTTCGTCTGTTTTCGAACTTTGTTTTATTGGTTGAGTTGAGTGTGTCCTATTTCCAACGAGAAACCATGTATGTAATAGTTGATCGACTCTCATTCCCAAAAGAAAGCAGACCCACGAGAAGAAGGAATGCTCTTACAGCTGGGACCAACAGGAATCCCTCCAAAGTGGTGCAACAAAAACACAAAAATGACTTAGCCTGAACAACACTTGGACAAATGACTTCAGCTACGTCAAAACACGTTCCTCCTCTTCCGCGACGCCCGATCTCCCACTGTCTCCGCACCGTCAGGCCCCCCGGCTGGCCGAGCTCGGTGGTGGTGTAGGCAGCGACGTAGCCGGAGATCACGAAGAAGGCGCCCACCACCACGTTGATCTGCAAATGACATGGACAAGGCACGCCGTGGATGCGGGCAAAGACCTAGAGTTGTGACAGGCACTAAGGGCGGACATCCTGAACAATTCCAGCAGAACATTGAAACTCGAGCACAATCGGTCATTTGGAGACGTTTCCGACTGCAGTTCTCTTTGCCATTTTAAGCGGTAAGACTGTAGACATCGACTGACTTGCTACACCCAAGATTATGAGCCCCACTCAGCTGCTGGTTTGGTAAGGAATACAACCTAGTACAGTAGACTTCTGCATCTAGAATCTAGAATTGATGCTGGCTTTCACGGTTGTGATGGTTGGTTGACTTGTAGATTGTGTTTCAATCAGAACTTCAAAGGCCAATTGATGATGGTTGATGGACATATCTTCTTCCAACTGTCACAAGCCGGTTGAAAGCCCTTCGAGAGCAAACATCGATCCCAAATCTACCCAAATTTGGCCTGTCTTCAAGAGGGCAACAGCCTTTGACCCACATCTATCCATCTGTGATTTACAACTTCAACCCATTCACTGCTCCAAACACCATATGTCCCTGATGGTCAGGGTTTTTTTACGGATGGGGGTGAGGCCACAAATACATAGAGAGTCGCCCCAAAGCCAATGTGTTCAGTCCGATCTTCATCTTGACTCTGTGGTGCTCTCCCTCAAACTTCTTCTACTACCCAACGTCTGAAAAAGGCAAGTCGAATACTTCACACAGCTCTCCTACCAAATGCGCCTGTGTGATCATGCGCAGTAGAAAGGGGTTCTTGGTGGCAGTGTGGATGAAGTGGCCACTCGCAATGTAAGCAATCAAAATGAACCTGCCAAACACGCACCCGTCTCGACCAAACTAACATTTCCGCATCCCCCCTCTCTGTATCGTTCCGGCGTCAGTCAGATGAATCTCCAAACAGTCAAAAGGATGAGGTCTAGTGTCGAAGGTGTCGCAGAATCCCAGAGGAGCAGGTCAGAATGACCAACTGATTCGGTTCTAAAGCCGTTTTTAAAACCATGTGAACGGGAAAGGAAAATGATGGAAAATGACGCCTTGAGGAACGAACGTCTGGAACTTGTCTACCGTCAACATGCAATTCCCTGTCAAGCAATCCAGCAAACCAGTGCAGAGGCTCAGACTTCACGTCCATTGGAGAGCACAAGCAACTTCCCGCTGTCAATCTCGTTATGCCAGGTTCAGTCAAACAAAATGACAACCAAAACCGAAACGAATCTTTTTCGGCACCCTGTTTTCCAGCTATTCCAAATGCCACTGGCACGAGGTGCATTCGCGAGCAGTCGTGCCCCACCTGAGGCTGTCCAGCGCCCCGATCCGCGGCTTCTTGGCCACCTCGCCGGTGGTCTCCGGAAGTTGGCTCTCGGCCGCACGCAGGGCCTGGCCACACGATCAGACTTGGCTGCAGAGGTCTCGATGTTTTGGAGGTCTCTCAACTCCACAGGTCAACTGACTTTTGTCAGCGCAACAAGATGTCTTTTCTAATGAAGAATGGAGTTTTGCTACCTAGTTTCACTTTTGGTTTCACATCGATTCGTCGGGGCTTTCCTGGGATCGGCCAAGCTTCGGATGCACACGGCGTCCAAGCAAGACGTTTTGAAGTCAAGCGCCAGGGTCATCGGCAACGCCAAACCGTGCTGAGCACGTTCTAGACGGCCGAAACCCCAACCCGAGCGAATCCGATCCGACCTGGCCCTGCTGCCATGAAAAACCATAGATGGCCGCCATCCCCACGCACAGGATCAAGGTGCCCAAGGTGGCTCCGCCTCTTGGGATCGACGACCAAGTGCACCGAGCGCTTTCGTAGAAGGTGCCGCAAGGCGCTGTCTAGAAAGGAATAAAAACTAGGAAAAACCGCGGGAAAACATTATTGAACTCTGCAACCACACGATGGAAACTCACGTTACAGGGTTTGTGGTAACCGAGCTCATGGTGTATTCTTTGATTCTTTGAGTACAGCCACTTCCTAGAAAATGAGAGGTGTTCTATCATTGTCTGGCCTGACACATGCAAAGGCCAAACGGATGCTTTACCCAGGAAATCAGTGAAAATTGTCGTAGCATCTTGGCTCAATCGCCGAGAAGTAGGATTTCCACGATTTCAATATGCAACTGCCAGGAGAAATCTCAAGTGTCTCAATCTTACGGGATACAAAAACGGTTTTAAAAATGCTGGCTCCAAAACCTTCCTTTTCTCTTCATGGTCTTTGTGATTTTGTGCCCCCACCTTCCTCCGGGTTCGTTTTAAAGGCTGTTCCGCGGCGGCCTTCAGCCCCAAAGCCGGTGTTCGCGGCAAAGCTCTGTGGCCAAAGTAAAGAGCTGCCCGAGACCTCACGACGGGATCAAGATTATCTGGCATTGGCTCGCGACGGTGAGTTATCTTTTCACAAAAAGAAATGGTTCGCTAAGTCCAGCACAAGTGCCAGTGCTAATACTGCAGCTCCCTTCCAACGTCCCATCGCCCGCGCCATGGCTTGTCTCAAATATAGATACTGAAAATTGCATTGCATCTCAACATGTCCAATGAAGGGGCCCTTGGTGTGCAAGTCTTCCATGTGTGCTCTTGACCAATTTTTGAACCAAACTGTGGAAAGGACATGCATTATCATGGCTATTGGCATACTGAAGCCTGCAAAAACCGCATGTGAGCTAAGTTTGGCGGCTCGATCAAACACCAAGTTTCATGTCATGCAATCGCCTCAGGAGCCATTTATCCAAAATCACAACACCCCATGTTCCAGTGTTCCAAAGATCTGGCGGGTTCAAGCAAGCCAATGAACAGGTGCTTAAAAAAAATCAAATTGGGTTCTTCTTCAGCTTGTGCGAAAAACCAGAACCCCAAACGACCTCACAAGGCCCGAACCCAACAGCACCGCAAGCGTCAAGCGACCTTTTGCGCGACACACAAACCAACGCAAGGTGCTTTACAGTGTGTACATCTGTGCATGTCCAGCTTCTTTAAACTCCATCGCTCCATCCTCTTGAAGGTGAGCCGAAAACAAACGTGGTTCGTCCGAAAACGACGATCAAACGATTACCGCAAGGCGAACGAACCTGTGGTGGATTCCGTTGGACCCAAAAGTCACCCTCGTGAAGTCCAACCCACTAATTCATGCTGAGATCTCTTCCGTGCCACCACTCTAGCACCCAACAGCAAGGTTGTGAACCCCAAACACATTGTTGTGTTTTTCTCCACTAGACACCACGCTTTTCAGCATGACGCCCCACCCCCAGTGTGGCTGATGTCATCACTTGGAAGGAACCCAAAAGAGGGGAAAAACAAAGCAACCAAACACACAACCTTCCAGTGTCCTCCGTGGAGAACACGCTGCATGCGCAACTCCACCGACATGCATGCATCCGGACTGGGAATGGCACATCGCATGGATCAAGTAGTGCAATCCTTTCACACCCCTGCTTCACAAGATTGAGATGGCCTTGCCGTCCTGCATTGCAATTTCATCAACCTGGTGCTCTGGTCACGTTTCCATGAACGATGACAAAAATCCAACAACGACCTCTTCGTCAGTAAGATCGGGCGGTAAACTGGCTGGCAGCTCACTGAAGAGATGTTGGTTCCAAAACTGTTCCCTGTCACCCTCTGCCAAACTTCTCACCATCCAACAACCCCAATTTTTGGCACAGCCAAACCTGGGACTCCAGGCGAAAGGTGCTTTGGGGATCATGAAAGAAAGTTTGTTCACCAATTGGTGGCTTTGGAAGCTACTCGGATGTTTTTCGGAGATTTTTGAGGGATCTGAGGAAGATCTTGTGTCCTTCGGAGAAGGCTGTTTTTCCACACGTTCGAAATGGAACCAGGTCCTCTGGTTGAGGCAGGTTTTAAGGTTGATGAAGCAAGAACATTCCCACTTCTGGGACAACATGGCACCGGCAGAAAACAAGACGTTCACGTTGTAGCAGAGTCCACAACCAACAGGCCTGGCTCCTCCAAATGAACACCACGCACCATCCTCTGACCTTCCACTTCTGTGCATGAACCGGCTCACAAAAACCCATGATCCCTCTCTTCTCTCTCAAAGTTCCAAAGAAGTGCCACCCCACTTGCGCTTTCAAAAAGGCGTCGCGTGGCTCTTGCGCATGGGCAGGTGCAACGAACCCTTCCGATGGGCTTGCCAAAAGCTGTACGTGACTGAAATGTGGGAAAATCTCTGCAATGCTTGGGATTAGTTCTTAAGTTTCGACAAAGCAGTGTTGTTGAGATCGGCATCTCGGACTGTGTAAAACGAACGCACGTTCAGTTCGAGAAGAGTAGTTTTGGACGTTCAGTTCGAGCAATTTCGTTCATGCTGCGCGTCGCGCCTTTGAAGTACGAACTTGTCAACTGTGCTTTTTCCGGGTCCACAATATTTTCGGATGAGTTCGGAGATTTCGGGTGCTTTGTATTGGTTGTTGGCAGCGTGTGGGTCGGAACCTCTCATCGTGTCAGACACTGCAGTTAGTTGAAGGACGGTTCCTTGAGAGGTAGTTTGTCCCGACCAGGCTTAAAGCAGAAAATGACTGTTTCCTGAGGACTTGGAAGCCTTCTGTTCCGTGTCGAGTTTTTGCAGAGTTTTGCAGAATTGGATGCATGTGCACTTACTGTTCAACAGTTCAATTGTTCAACAGTTCAACTGGGGAGGCCCTCCATGGCGAGACCGGTTTTGCTAGGGCTTTTGGACCCCTCAATGAAGGCCACACATTCCGCCGAAAACGCAATTCATCTTTGGATAGGTCAATGGCCAAGCCCACGCCCAAGCATTTGTTAAGAATGGTTGAGCGCGAAGTACACTTAGGTTGCGTTTTGTGGTTTTCTGTTGGTTGGTCTTTGTGTTTTCTTGGAAGTTCCTCACTCCGATGCAATTAGAACTTTGTAAAACGCAAACGGGGTGTCGGTACCGCGCATTTGTAATAGAGAGCCCGAGCGGTACCGAAGCGGTACCGCGCATTGTAATGGAGGGCCCGAGCGGCACCGAGGCGGCACCGCGCATTGTAATAGAAGGCCCGAGCGGTACCGAGGTGGTACCGCGCATTGTAGTAAAGGGCCCGAGCCGTAATGCAGTGGTACCGAGGTGGTACCGCACACTGTATAATAGACGGTCCGACCCAACCCAGAGCTTGATTGTAACCGCAAAAACCCTATATAGTGCGTTGCAAGGGAAAGTTTGAACGTTGACGCCAAGATGGAACCGGGACCCGGGCCGAAGCCTGGCGTAGCTTGCAACAAACATCAAGGACGCGAGCTCAAAACCTCAACAATATCTTTTCAAAACCCCATCCTTCACAACATGCATCAAACAACGACGTCAAATAAAACAAAACAAGGTTTCCTTGCCATAGTGAACGACCAGAGATGGCTCCTGTAAACATACGCGAACATGACAGGCTCCACGGCGCCAAACCTTCCCTTACCTTAACATCTCCCCACCCGTCTTTCCTCTCATCCAAAACTAAGACAGACCGCAAAATACGAAGAATGGGTTCACAACGTTTGGTCTTAGGGCGCTACGTCGACTCACGGCGGATGTCCACCCCAAGCTTTGTAGCAAACAAACATGCACCAAGCGTGCAAGGCTGCAATCAGACTGCCGAAAAAAGCAGCTGACCATTGATCCGTAAGCTTGACTGCTTTCGATCAAGAACATCATACAGGCCAAACGCTTTCTCCCCAGCAATACTCAACCCTCACAGGTGTTCCAAACTTTTGGAAGCGAGGCCCAGTTCAACAGTTCAACTGTTCAACAATTCAACTGGGGAGGCCCTCCATGGCGAGACCCGTTTTGCTGGGGTTTTTGGACCCCAAAAATGAAGGTCACACATTCCGCGGAAAACGCATTTCATCTTTGGATTCGTTGGTGGCCAAGCCACGCCCAAGCATTTGTTGAGAATGGTTGAGCGCGAAGCACACTTGGAATGCATTGGCGCAAGTGTGGACCGTTTGAAGCGCCGGGGACTGCAATGTCAAGGTTGCGTTTTGTTGCTTTCTGTTGGTCTTTTTTTGCACGAGTCGACCCGCCATTCACGCAGGAAGTGCACAGGTCAGCTTGCGCAATTGTGGGGAGAGTGTCTATCAAGAAAGGTGCGAAACCACCAAAACCAAACACAGAAACAACACCAAACCCCCAAAGCCAAACGCTGGCACTCATGACACCAGGTCAATAAGCCTGCGTCGGCAGGCTGTGTCATCGAGCACTGCAGAGCTGTGCTTTCCGTGCTCATTGTGGAGTGACAACCAAGGAGCTGCACGACGCACAGGCAAAAAAAAAAAACCAAAAATGTGACAGACTGCACTTGAGACAATGTGTGTTCATGGGAGGATGCAAGTGCCTTTTATCTGCTGTTTTTGGCCCTGGAAAACATTCCAGTTTGACACAGTCGCAGACATGTTGGCTGAAGCCAACAGTGATGAACAGCCACATGGGCTGCATGCATCTGAACAGACAGATGAGAGACAACCGGTTCTCTCACACTGGTCACACTTGCAGGCAATGAACAACGCATGCCCGTTGACACTGCGCAATGAATGCCCAACTCCTGCCATCGGTCACCAACCTTGATGTCTTCGGCTGTAAAGTGGACCTTGTCCGGCTGGATGCCCAAAGCCCCTAAGAGATCCTTCAAGATCAAAAGTACCTCACAGGCAACGAAACGGACGGACTCACCTCCAATACCCTGAGCCTTGAACCTTGGTACTGCATTGCCTGAAATTTCCAATCAACATTCCAGGTCTTGCATCATCAGCATCACAAGCTCCGTGAAATCCTGCCATTGTTGCGACGTCAATGAAACCAATGGTCCTTTTGTAGAAGTGTTGCAATCCTGTCAGACAAGCTTGCGCGCTCATCCAAACAATAACACTGAAATAAATGCTGAAGCTTTTCAAGCTGAATAAAAGAAACCCTAGACAAATCAAAAAACTCACCCTTGAATATTTGTTGCACGTTCGACACCCGGGCGCTGGATAGTGATCTTTCGTTCACCATACAAAGATCTCACACTCGTCCCTGCATCTTCCAAGCCCTGCGCCATCTCCCAGGCTTCAACTGAACCTGGTAGCCTTCTTTGCCGATGAATGAGGCTTACCTCACTCTTTTTTTTGCGAGTAATGCTGCCAGTCATCGCAGAGAGTGCGAAGGTCAGCTGCTGAAGAGAGAAAAGATTTCTTGTAGTCAAAAACAAAAAACATAAAAAAGAAACAACAAAACACAAACGCCAAACCAAAATGAGGCAAATTTGTATTTGCACGGGTTGGGCTGCCAGTCATCGCAATGATGCGAAGGTCAGCTAGTGTTGAGATTGAAGATTTCCTCGACCGACTACACAAAACGGACCCAAAAGCAAGACCGGTCCAACCAGAAAGTTTAAAGGTCTCTTGCAGAAATTTCCTCCATGCATGGAATGAAAGTTCGATGTGAAACACGCCTGGGCGTGGACGAAGTCAGCCTTCGCATGTTGTTGGGTGAGTGAAAGTCCC